AAAAGGTGTGGGAACCAAAATATTGAGTACCAAGACATATATTTACATCATGACCATGAAGACTCATGCAAAAACTCAAACACATAAGGACAGTAACTGAAACCAAGTTTCGCCAAATGTCTGGTACGTACAAACATAGTTTACAAGTGCCAATACCCTTAACTGCAACTCTGGCATTGTTTCCTACATATACCCATTTTGTGTTTGTTGGAATTCGGCGATACTCGACAAAAGCTCCTCTTTCTCTAGCTACATGGTCTGTGACTCCTAAATCTAGAGTCCAAAGAGGATTCGTTTCAGCAAGCATTACAGTGCTAGAAACAAAATTATAATTAAGAGGAGAATTGAGCAATACCTTTTTAGGCTCAGTGCATTCACGAGCATAGTGACCTAATTTGCCACAATTATAACAAGATTGATTGCTCTTGTCCTTTTTCTTACCACTGCGCTTACTTCTCTTGCGATTGCCAGTCTGAGTTTTCTTAAATTCTGGAACAGTCTTTTTGAACACCTTTCTTTTCTTGTTACGTTTGAAGTCACGTTTGAAGTCAGAGGGCTTACTTGTGTTTGACTCAGCAACATAAGCCTGTCCGAAAGATCTAGCTGCCTCTAGGCGCTCATCCTCTAATTCAACATGATGTCTTGTATCTTGAAATGTTTTGATGCTAATGTTGTGAGTAATGTTGACTTTCATATGCTCCCAACTCTGGGGAAGTGATCTAATGATAGCTTGCACTTGTTGCTCATTAGTCAATATATGTCCAGCAGACTTCAACTCAGTAATCATGTTTGACATTTCTCTCAGATGCTGCTTCATTGAGTGATGTTGTTTTTTCACATAAGTGTCAAACTTGATTGTCAGCTGTCTGACTTTAGTAGATGAAGTCACTCCAAACTTTGCCTTCAAAGTGGTCCACAGTTCATGAGCTGTTGGATAATTCTCATACTCAACCATCAGATCATCTTGCATACTACTCAATAGCGTGATGCGAGCATTACTATTTTTCTTTTTCCAAGCTTGATAAGCCTCTAGATTCTTCTGATGGTGAGGAGTATCCCTATACTCTGGTTCACTCATGGTATGATGGAGAGCCTCCAAATATTCTTGCTCTTCAAGAATATACTGAACTTTTCGATGCCAAACATCGAAATTATCTCCGTTCAGTTTCTCTCTTTTGTTTAATTCAGCCACAATATTTTTTGTCGCAATAGCCATGTTCTCAATCAAGCTACACATAGACAAAAAATGCAAAAAAAGAAAAAAAATAGCACTAAAAATATATTATTCATTTGCAGCCAATATTACTGAAATAATATTTACTAGAAGTAATTAGTACAAGATCGAAAGTCCGCATAGCGTCCAATCATCTCTTGTAAACTAAAACTTCTTTAAGTAGTATTATTCCAATATATTCATGCTAATTTTTTGGGTGAAAATTTTAACTCAACTAACCCATGCCTCACACTTGAATAAAACATAGATAGCAATAACATAAAATGCATACATCAACATACATTTAGTATGTATTAATATTCATGAAAAAAATGCTTTTTCTCAAATGATAGCATAATTCAATAATTATTCATAGACAAATTGAACTAGGTATCCCTAATTAAAACATTCCAAATAGAACGCACGCATGATTTAAATATATAAATCATACCCAAAAAAAATTAAGGACTTAAATACAAGCCTTTATTCCAATTTTTTTAATTTTATGAATCTAAAAAAATTTTTGAACTATTTTCTAATGGTAACTTATAGTTCAAATTATCATATATTCCAAGAGAGCAAAAATCAAGAAAAATTTGGCGCAAGAATCATATTTTTCTGATTCATAGATGATTTTCTGCAAATTTTCAAAGAAAATCTTTTTTTTTTAGCTAGAACAGCCCCAGCCACACAATATGGCAAGTGTTTTTACGTGCCTGTCATCTTCTTCAATAGTTCACATAAGTCAATGAAGATAGCTATAGGTTATGCGACTAGGGACTCTAGAACTCAGATTTCTCATTGTCTGAGCATCCGTTTTGCGCACATGATATAGCATTGGAAAACTCTTTCAGAGTACTACATAAATATGTAATAAAACATATTCAATTCTGCACACACAATTCACAGAAATTCTCCGAAAACAGCTCGACAACACATATGTAAACTTTAAAAAACTCAACAACAAGAGAGAATTAAACCATGAAATTTTGCAGGTATATTCTAACCCACATGAGGAACATATTCCATGAATTTCATGGCTTGAAATTATGTGTGCCAAAATCGGCCATTAAAGCTCATGCTTTAAGCTTTAACCAAAAAACCAGCGTAAAGCACTTCTCAGAGCATGGCTTAGCAAGAATTCAGCCTTAGAAGCTCTGATACCATTGTTTGAAATCAAAGACGAGCAAAATCGAAAATCGGGTTACCTTACACCAAAGCTTTGGTCGCAGCGGATTTTTCGGATTCAATATTCCAGCTGAATCACATGCTTTTGGTCGGGTGTGAATCACAACCCAAATCCTAGGCTATATCTTTTAGTTCTTCTATTTTTCTAGAGGAAGATAAAACTGAAAGAAGGACTCGAAAGCTCTCTGTTTTTCTTGCTTCTTCTTTCGATTCTTATATAGACATTTTTTTTGTCGGTCTCTGTTCCCTTTCTTTCCCATTTTTTTTGTTCCTATTTTTTTTGTCGGTCTCTATTTCTCGGTGGGGCGGTGGAAAAGGCTACCTTTTTACTCCTTTTCATTTCTTTTTGTTTTGTTTCTACTTTCAGGTAGAAACCGGGTTGGACAACCCAAAATGGGCGTCCACCTATTTTTCCCACAGTCCATGAAGGCATTTGCAGTATTCAATCGTTCAAACAAATTCACTTGACAAAGGAATGGCTACTCAAGCAACTAGTAGGAGGGCTTTAACATCTCTATATGGAAACATTCTTAACACAATTTCTTCTTCTTTTTTGTGCAGGCTTATCTTAGGGTTCTTTCAGACGCTAACTTCCTAAACCCATTTCTTGAAAATATCCACAAGGGATAATCTTCCAAGTTGGGATGTTCAAAACATATTGGTAAATGGATTCGCACATAGATAGTTATCAGATTTTGAATAGCATATAGGTCGTATAGATTTTTCAAAGTAGACCCTTTGTTAGCTTTCTGGGGATGAGCAAAGATCGTAATTAACTAAAAGTTTATCCCAATTCTTTTCATATTCAGCGTAATCTTGCACTCGTGGCTTCAATATTTAAATCTGTCTCCGTTAATTTCCTCCCCCCTCTCTATCCTCTCTCTCTCTTATTGCATCTGCCGGTGGTTGGCTTAAATTAGTCTTTCCAGTTTATCTATACACATCTACTATATGAGGAAGATATACCAAGCATAATGAATGCTGGTGCAATAAAAGATAAAATAACAAGTTGTGCGAACAATTAGTGGCATTTTAAGTATGGAAGATGCTACTCTACACGACATACAACTCTAAACTATAAAAAGAAAGTGCAAGATGATTCACTTCTTTGATTGTTGGCATTTTCGCATTGTATTTATCGTTTTATGCATGTCAGCAATTTTAGTCGCTTTTTATGCATCATTTTGGATAAAAGGAAAGGGAAGAAAAGGAAAGGAGATAACTCTAGTCGAAAGGAAAAAGAATGAGATTAGAGAAAAGCAGATTTCATCAACATTGTTTCGATTAAATATGAAAGAAAAAGAAAAAATATTAAAAATATTACTTGCACCAAGAAAGGAAAGGAAAGGAAACTGGTACGTTTTAGTTATTTTTTTATCTGTTTAAAAATCTAATTTATAAATCGATAGGTTCGTTAAGACATTTTTAAATTTTCAGTTATTTTGGTTCCTTTCTGTTTTAGACCACATCTGGACGAAAGCAATATGATAAAAAATAACTAGATCTTACCCTTCATTTTCCTCCTAAAATATTGGTATAAACATAATAATACCTTGTCCCTCCATTTTCTTTCCCTCCTATTCTCTCAAAACAAACAAACAGAGCCTTAAGTATGTAGTTGTAAAGGCTTGGTATATATATATATATATATATATATATATATATATATATATATATATATATATTAGTTACGTATTGAGGAATTATAAAAAATAAACATGAAACCAATAAGTAGATAAAGAAAATTTAGGTCATGTATGTCTACCTCTCTACTCAAATTGGAGGCTTGAGAATATACATAAATCTGCCCTCATTTTTTCAATTTTATCTTTAATTGTTTTATCAAAATAGATAGCTGCACCGCGTTGTGTTCAACAGACTAACATCTCATACGATTACTTAATGATATGCAATGAGCTTCACAATAGATGCTAATTTTCTTGATACTAACAACATTTTCATTGGTAAAGCACAAAATAAAACACAATAATAATCCAACAATAATGTACATTATCTCAATCAATTAGGTTAAAGTTTGCAAATTACGACCCAATTTTGTATTTTTTTTTTGTTGATTAAAAGATGACTCAACTATTCCCACAATTTAAGAAGAGTAAAAGCACAAGAGGATTAACTATGCTATACTTTTTTTTTTTTAATTTCAATAACTTTTTTTTGGCAAGCGTTTGCACTTATGATATCTTATTTATAATTTCTCACACCTTACCACATAATCTAGAATCTCAATACCTATTGAACTTTGACATTCCATTTCAGTCTTTTTTATTTTAATTAGATAGCCCGTTACAAAATATTTTATACTCTATTAAACACCTCGGTAACTTATGTGAAGTTATCATCATTAAATTTTCTTAGAAGAAGATATGAAAATAATGTTCAAAACTTCGGTAGATTCGGTTTATAAAGATTCAATGATCCAAATTATACCATATCACTTGGGTGAGATAGTGTGATATAATTTGAACCATTGAATTTTTGAAAATCAAGTCTACTCAAGTGTTTGAATAATACCCAGTTAACAGCAGACCGAAACGAGCAGAAAAAACGAACATCGGGTTAATACACTGATTTTCCAACTTACTGACCCGGTTCAGGACTCAGCCCACCATTTTCCCCTAAGCCTACCCGCAGCTAAACATGAGTTCCTTATAGTGCCTGGAATCATCAACTACTACACTAGTAAAGCTGCTGCTCCTAGTCGGGTAATTTTTCTATCTTTGAACATTTTAATTTTCATGGTGAAATGGGTTTTTTCTACTCTGTTTGATGTAGGAAGTCAATAATCCTGTAAGGTGTTGATTAATTCTCTGTCTATGCTGCTATAATTGAATTGCATGAGCAAAATCAGAACCTTCCTGTATTTATTCTAATGCTGATTTCATAGCTCAAAATTTCAGTTTTCCTGCAGTTTTGCAAACTGTGGGTGTCTTTCTTTTTGACGAGTGCATTTTCTGGATGTAAATCCAGGAAACTTGCTATTACTGACTTTGGACTTAAATTCTGGAACTGGGATTATTTTGGGTTGAAACTTCTCAATTGCAGACTTTATGAACTTTCATTTCTCGATTTGGCAAAATTTCTCCATTACCTGTATTTCCTTTCTCTTGGATTACTGTTTAAATAGCTTATGTTTTAATATTTACACCTCTGTTTTTCATTCATCTGTTGATTACTCGTTGCCTTCCATTTTTTTTTTGTTGTGATTGCATTGGTCCAACATTTGTCCCCATCTGATTCATAATTTTGGGCATGATATTCAGGGTATCAAGAAGCATATAAGCGTATTTTCAGCTGAGCCATCTGTCTCAGTATTTGGCTTCACTCAGTTCTTGGACTACTAACTTAATCTTAATAGGCGCCCAAACTTCTGACCTCACTGCGATTGTCAGCTCTGACAAGTTGGAGACCTTTGAAAAATGAGCAGCTTCTATTAATGGACTTCTTCGTCTCAAGCTTGGGAAACTTGGATTCCAGTGGTCACAAATGAACCAAATTTCTAAACCGGGAAAGTCTAGATTACCCTATCCTCAAGCAATTTTTAGATTCAAACATTTTGAACCAAAATCACAAAATTATTCATCATCTCTGCAAAGGGTACCAGACATTAATAAGAACAAACCCATCTCGAACCCATTTTACAATCTTCTCCCTGAAACTCAAAATCCTAACAACATAGTCAGTCTTGTGTGCTCTACTCTGAAGCTAAAAGATGATGCTCATTTGTCCTTGTCCCTTCTCCATAAGACCATGCAAGAGCAAGGGCATTTAAGTCATCTGGGGACACAAGAAATTTCGAGGATTCTATTAAGATGTCAATCCGATTCATCAACTGCTCTGACTTTCTTCCGCTGGGTAAAATTTGATTTGGGTCTCAAGTTAAACTCTGAAAATTGTTGCATTGTAGTTCATATATTGGTATGGTCTAGAAAGTTTTCACAAGCTATGAAAATTTTATGTGAACTTGTGAAATTAGACAAGAATGTTTCAGAAAGATTGGATGTATTTAAGACTTTACTCTTGTGCACAGATGATTGTAACTGGGACCCTGTTGTGTTTGATATGCTAATTAAGGCTTATCTCAGAATGGGTATGGTCAAAGAAAGTTTTAGAGTTTTTAGGAAGATGGTTAAGCTTAATTTTGTTCTGAGTATTGTGACAATCAATTGTCTTTTGAATGGGCTTTCAAAGATGAATTATGGTGATAAATGCTGGGAAATATATGGCATGCTGGGAAGAATTGGGCTACATCCAAATACTTGTACCTTTAATATACTCATTCATGTTGTGTGTAAGGAAGGGGATGTGAATAAGGTGAATAAATTCTTGGAGAAGATGGAAGAGGAAGGATTTGATCCTGATATAGTGACTTACAATATGCTGATGGATAGCTACTCTAAGAAAGAGAGGTTGAAAGATGCGATTTACTTGTATCATATTATGTTTAGGAGAGGAGTTGTGCCTGATCTACTTACTTACACTGCACTGATAAATGGCTTCTGTAAAGGAGGTAACGTCAGTGTTGCTCATCAGCTCTTCTCAACAATGATACATAGGGGTTTAAAACCAGATCTTAGGGCCTTTAATACTCTTCTCGTTGGTTACTGCAAAGAGGGGATGATGCAAGAGGCGAGGTCCTTGTTGCATGACATGATTGGAGATGGGATTCACCCTGATGAGTTCAGTAGCAGGATGCTTGTGGAAGGTTACCACAAACAGGGTTCCTTGATTTCAGCTTTAAATTTGGTTGTGGAGCTTCAGAGATTTGGAATCTTAGTATCTCAAGATGTATATGATTACTTAGGAATTGCTTTGTGTAGGGAAAATCGACCTTTTGCTGCAAAGAGTCTTCTGGAACGAATAGCTTGTCCCAGCTATGAGCCTAATCCAGAGATCTTATGTAACTTGGTTAGTTCTTTTTGCCGATGCAACTCTTTGGAGGAGGCATTAGATTTAAAAGCTCAGATGGTATCCAAGAATATGAGGCTGGACTTAGTATCCTATAAAGCTATTATATGTTGTTTGTGTAAATTAAGTAGATGCAAGGAGGCTGAAAACTTGATTAAGGAAATGGCTGAATCTGGTGTATGGCCGGATATTGAAATTTGCAGAGCTTTGATAAAGAGATTGTGCCAAAAAAGCAATTTTAGTGAGGCAGAATATCTCCTGAGATTCTTCGCTGAGGAATTCCAGGTTTTTGACACAGGGTGTTACAATGAACTTATAAGAATTCTCTGTGAGAAAGGCGATATGGTTAAATTGATGGAGTTTCAAGATAGCATGATAAAAATGGGGTTTGTGCCAAATGGCCAAACATGCAAGTACATGATTGATGGATTGCAGAGAGTCATGGGGATGCAGAAAGGCAGTGTATCAAATGGGACTAGTTGGTGAGTTATTTAAGTTATTCTTATTTTGGTGCTTCCCTGTGTTTTCCAGAACAAATATCAGTCTTACCAAAATACTTTTCTGGATAAAATAAGTATATTTGGATTGCCTTATCCTTAGTCTTTCCCGGGTACTCTTTTTTTTTTTCTTTTTTTTAAGATTCTCTCTCTCTTCCTCTATTTATTTGAATGCCTTTTGAGTTTAAAGATGTAAAACATACATCATTCATCATTGAGAAAAATCTTTCAGTAATACACAAAGATTTCTTCTTTGCCTTATTACAGGCATTGCATGTTGATGCTTCAAAATCCAGTAGAATTTTCATGGTCCACTAATGTAAATTAACAACATTCACTTGTTTCATCCTAATTAAGGGGAGGGTATGAGTAGTATTTAAATTGGATACCCTTTTCTCTTGTTTTCTGAGACCTTATATCTCTACTGTATTTACATCTTCAACCTGGGCTTTAATAATTGAGATGAGTTTACAACTTAATCAAATCAGTTAAAGCATAATTTTAGTAATTTCTGAGAATTGCTAAAGGAATAGAGTGGATGAAGGAGTAAAGCCACCATACAGGTCCTCTCTGCACTAAACGCTTGAATGTCAGTATTACTATACATTTCATGTTGCTTGTTAATTTCTCTTGTATTTATGTTGGGACATAATTTATCTCTCTTGGGTTTTTATCATTGATGCCAGTACTTAAGCAGCAAACATGGCTGAGTAACAACAGGCCAGCTGTCAATCGGGTTCAGAGTACAGCCAACAGTGGCGTGGTTTCCATCTGTGGAAGATGCTTCAGTGGGAAGAAGATTGCTGGTCAGTATTTTGAAATCTTTGTCAGCTTTCTAATTATCGTTCCCAATCTTCTGTCCTCTTCTTGTTATTACATCTTAAAATATATAACTTGTTATTCTTTTGTATATAGTTCTAGTGTTTTTGACAATAAAATTGATTATCTACCACATTAACTTAAGGCATTTGAAATTCAATTGCTAATGTGACTAAATTAGATAAATCTTTCTAATAGTATGTTTATGCCTGATACTGGGAGTCCAGGACAGCTGATGTATCAGACCCCAGATCCCCTTCTGAATTCTTCAAGCAAGCAGTTTATGACCACGTGCAGCTTGTGCACTCCGATGTAATCATGAGGATGTTGTCTAAATTTCAGTATGACTACCTTATGTTCTGATGGATTTCCATGAAGCTAATCTTAGTACTCCTCAATTGAAGGCTTAGTTGGGAGTATCACGCTGGCACCATCCTCCAGCTGGGAGTGTGAAAAATCTTTAAATGGAGCTATTAGGACAGACGCTGTTTTGGTGGTTGGATGGTAGTCAGAGATGGTGAAGGTTGTTTTATAGCTGGTTTTGCTGAGAGGTTTGAAGGGGCACGACCAATATGCTGAAACAGTAGCTGCTAGAATGGTTATTGAGCTGGCAGCATAGCTGCAGACTCTGTGGCTTTGGTGTGGAAGGTGATGCAGTGAATACAGTTGAAGCACTCAAAAGAACTGAGGATCATTTTTCTGTTCTAGGTTCTATGGTGGCTGTATCAAGAGAGGTTGAGCTTAAAGTAGATTGCTTCAAGTCTTGTATACTATTTGGCCAGTATTAGGCATTTTTATGGTTTTCCGTCACTGACTGCTTATTGAAATGTTAACAAAATTCTTGTCATAAATAATGTAACATTCACAAAAGTTTGTTGTTCTTCTTCTGGGTTGCTATCATCAGTACTATCTCTTAACTTTGCTGATGGGTATGCAGATAAAACAACCTTAAATGGATAGGAACCTCGAGACCAGTCAGGAAGTGACTCCAGAGCAGGTATAAGAATGTAGTGACTGTTAGGAAGTAGAGGAGCAGTCTTGTCGTTGAGAAATGGATCGAAAAGGCAAAAGAGATCACCGGAAGGTTTAACATGGACAAGCCAGCCATGGGAGGAGCCAACACATTCATTCCCATGAGGAGTTGCTTTTGGGGGCTGCGCAGATGTAGTAGTATTTTCCTTGACAGCATTCTGAAAATGGGCAGACTACTTTGTGGGGAAGACAACGACTGGTTCATCGGACCGTGTTCTGGGTAGGCAAGGAAACTTTCTGGAGTTCAACATAGCCTAGCTTATGTCCAGCTTAGTATAGAAATGCAGTTTAGGTTTTCTGTTTTACGTTCTTATTTTTTATCTTTTAATGTTTTCTCCTTCAACCTTGGGGGAAAAAAATGCATTGAACCAAGATCATTTCCTCTCTCTCTGTTTGGTAGAAACGAAGTTTTCATCCGAACAAAAAGCAAATGATTCCATTCAATAAGAGCACAGAGGATAGCTAGTACTCCAGTTCTACTGCTGGAGTTTCTTTAGAAGTAAACATAAAATTGCTCAAGCTTGCCAGTTACCCTCAACTAACTTGAGCTTCATAATCTGCACATGAATAATGCCTATTGCTTGTCCAAAATCCACCTACACTAGCTGTTACAACAGGAAATCAAAATACAAGGCCAAAGTAGACGAGACAATTTGTAGTCCGCGAGAGAAGAAAAGCAAAATGTCACTTTCTCACAGTTCGTCCTGCATAGCAACATGGAGATTTGCAGTGTTAATTGTACAATCCAGAACTTGCAAACAAAACAAAAAAAATGAAAATGAAGCTGATTATGATTCAAATGTGAAGGACATAATATTTGCAAAATTTATCTTAACAAAAAGTGAAGAATAATCAGAAACAACAGTCAGACAAAAACACTCTAGTTCTGTTATTTGTCAGCAAGTTTTATCGAAATATTTACATATTTCAGCCTTAGAAAAGATGAGATATGCAAACTTACATGATAATCACCGTAGTCATGGCGATCATGCTGCAAAACAGATATACAGGAGTTATACAGATCAGATTTGACAAACAAACACAAAGAATGAACTTTTGGAAGGAACCTAATTTCCAACATGCAATAACTGGCCGATTAAACACTTTGCCAGGACTAAGCAATGTAATACACATTCTTATGTGTGTGCGTGTGTGTGTGCGCCTGCGTGCATATTTATGTTAGTTTATCTCAAGCACGTATCTTATTAGGAATCCATGTATATCATGAAGCAGTCATAGATTTCAGCTGCTGAAACTAAAGTATCAATGTGTGATTCGACTAACTAAAACAAGTTAATTAACAATGGAGTCCATAAAGAAGAAAGGTACGTAGTAACTTGAAGAAGATAAAGCAAAATCATATTTTAGTCCACCAGATGTCTGGTAGCATTATTGATAGAAAGAGTCTACCACAGATACATTCATAGAATAAATCTAAATTATAGTATTAACCAAAAAAGGTATGTCAGACATTGGTAAGTAGTTCTGAGAATATAAAAAAAAATGTTTACTAACCCTTCTATATCTGTCTCTGTATCGATCTTTCCGTCGATCGTGACCCCTTTCTTGTCTCCTCCTTTCACCTTCCTCTCTTGCTCTTTGAGCTTCCTGCATAAACAAGGTCGCAAACAATTTAGACATTGTTTTTCTTTTTTTAACTAATGAAGGAAGACCTATCAGGAGTCAGGCCTCAACCTCTTCTTCCTTCGCTTTCCTAATTTTTTCTGCTTCCTCAAAAGCCTCCTTCTCAACCTGAAATTTTAAGAAAACAAGACAGTAAAATACTAATACCTAGACACGAATGCAGCCACTGATTGGCCAATAAGTGGAGGAACAGAGTCTCACCTCCCTATTGGACAAAACTTCCTGCACAACTTCTTTGGCATATTCTGGATCATCACATATCAAAATATTGTCATAAACAGATCCAGCTTTAACCTGCAATTGATCACAAATCATAGTAAGCTTCTAAGATATCACTATCCTATATTTGTTAAAAAAATGATTGCAGTGTCCAATGTTGATGTTAAAAACCAAACATCGAATGAGAAGGAAAATGCTTGAAATATGATGCTAGAGGAACTGAACTACCATTTTACCTGCCAGACTTCAATGCCCACATATTTGATGGGCTTCAACACGTACAGGTCAGGATCATCTTCAAATTCTGTTCATAAGATGTATGTAATCAGAAGCTACAAGATACTAAAAGATTGAAGTCATATAATGCTTTTTTGTGAATCATCACAAGTGCACCCGAGAATTAGAGCAAGTCTACTCATACAGTACCTGGATTATCGATCCAAGGAATCTTCCACTTCCCTTTGTAGTTAGGATTCTTTATCTTCTGCAACATGAAAAGGCAGTCTTGCTGAGAAAATACATTGATTAATAAACTCAAACCATCTGAATGAGGTAGCTCCTGACATACCTTACGCTTCCATGGTCCCTTATATGCTGGATTAGGTATCTTCGGCGGTTTCCATATGCCATCTTCCTCTTCATCCCAATGATCAGGCTGATGAAGAGAATATTAGTTTAGAACCCGAAAATCATAATCTCTATCTCTCTCTCTCTCTCAGTCTCTGAGAAAGTATAATCTTGCCCTTATGTTTTGGTCTTTGGAAAACAGTCTGTAGTACGATTCTCTTCTTCTCTTCACACTAATCCCTCAGCATGGTCCAACATATTTCTACTCAAATTGCTACTTTAATACTTAATAAATTGTTATTACCATAACTTAGCATTTTAGCATGTGTAAAAAGGTGGCATGGAAGTAAGCGAGGGGGGAGAGAGAGAAAAGGAGAGTTTAATATCTGGATATTGAGATGAAGACAATTTAATCTGCCTATTTATTTCATGAACAATTATTTTTATGAGTCCATAACACACTTAAGAGTACAAAAATCAAGCAAAATGCACGAAGCCAACTAGAACACTAAAACAACCTGGGTGACACTTCTAATGGAACACAGCATGGTTAGTTGACAAAGCAAGATAAAAAGCATAACTTACCTTTACAGCATTAGGATCAGGAATTTCTCGGGGAATTGAGTCATATCCCTGCATTGCCAAGAAAATTCAGAAGTGCTTAGCTGACACACTATATGTGCAGTACGATACATAGATAAATAAATGAATTTGTGTGGCAACATAATACCTTCGGTTTCACATCATTCGGATCTTCAATATATTCTCTATCATCCCAGTCTGCAGGCTGCAAATATAAAATTAAGTTTCCACATAAGAAAGATTACCATTTACCAGAACCTATATTCTATTTGTCACTTGCATAAGAGAGAGTACTCCAGAACCCATACTGCATCTGTAACTCATATGAAAAGAGGTACCAGATACCAGAACCTCTATTTCATCTGTCACGTGGCAGGAATGCAACCAAAAATTTTCAATTTTACTAAAAATAATAGCCAATAGAAAGTTAATAGTTATGATGTGCATGCTTAAAAAGTGGACCCTTTTCACTTTGAAGCAATGGCATAAAGACAAAGTACAAATCTTCAAACCAAAAAGACATTGAAGTTTTGATTAATTTCAGAAGTTTTATTTTTTGGCACTGAAACGAACCTTTTTTGCGTTCACAGCCTTGATTTTCCGAGGAGGAAGGATATCCCAGTCAGTATACAAGCTCCCTGAATCTCTTTCTCTACCATCAATCAGAACGCTATATGTTGCATCAGGCCTAAGAATGAATGTATAGAAGTGGGTAAACTTGTCTGTTTCACATTGCAAGTCCTTCTTGATGGGGTAATTCTGCCCTTGATAGGAGTATATAACATGAAGTTTCTTAGTCTGTGTGCCACATAAATCTGGTCCAAACATTACACTGCAAGACAAACATTGAAATTGATTTTAGAAAGGATATATGAGCATTGTCCAGACAAAAGATTAAACGAAGTACACCAAGAATAGCAGTACATGCCTTATGAGAGCAAAAGGTTCAAAAAACATCCAAAGTACATGATTGGTGATTAAGAGTATAACCAGTTAAGAAGTCTAGCAGCATACAATAGGTAGGTAAGAAAGGAAAAAAGACCACCCTTAAACCCAATGCACAGATGAAGTAATTGTTGGACAATACATCATTCGAGCTTTCCTTACAACAAGTTAGATATGACAGATCAATCACTATAGTTAATTAGTTCACATAACATACAGACCATCACTAAGGTATTGCTAACAGACATTTATTTCATTTTCATCCATTACAAAACCAGCATTACTTACATGTTCAAATTAAGATGCAATTGAATAATAAAGGACCACAACATACCCCTAGAATGAGCCACAATGCAAGAGTGCACAAACACATGAATAATTAAAAACTGAAACTCGAATATGACACTTCAAGGATATGCATGTACTTTTCCTATGGGGAAAAATAAAGGATGTAACTAAAACAGGATGCCATCTAAGTGAAGATCATACTAAAGATAAAAATACAAGGAAGGCAAACTACATGTAAAGAAAAAAAGGAAAAAAAATACTCGACCTGTAAGGAGTGTCACCACCAAATTTCTTCTGATTGACAAATCCAGAAAGAAACTTTATGTAACCTCCTCCACATTCAATATCCTGCTCAAACCTTATAGAATATTGTAAAACCAGTGTCCTGTTCTTGTTGCTAAATTCCGGTATCTTTGCAGATATTGCAAAATGTCTAGCATCAGTAGATGTCTGGATACCTGAAAAAATTCAGAATTCTTACTATCTGAGATCAAATAACTTAGTAACACATCACTCTTAAACACATGTCAAGTACCAAACTACATTCAGATGAGAAACAAGAGAGGGAAATTCAATCTTAATAGTAAATCTATGAGAGGGTTGACTTTCTTCCCAAATTTTAAAAGACTTCTTTCTTCATCCATGCATTCACTTTGGAGGAACAAGAATGAGAAAACACGGTTCACTTAACATGTCATCTAGGCAAAAGAAAACAATCCAAACCCCACTAAGTAATTTAATAACTACGACTATGAAGTAAACACACAATATAGGATGATGACACGAAGAACTTTTCCACCATAAAACAGAAGATATGATGTCAACAAAAGTATAGGCTACTTCTATTTCACCTACAAGTTTTCTATGAAGATTTGAGCCCTTTTCTATCGAACCTTTCGGTATAGTTATGTAGAAAATCTTAAAAGAGACACTTAAACAGATAGGCATTCTTCTTCACCTAATTAAGAAAAAGATTTTAGAGAGGAAAAAAAATTGAAGGAGGTTTAAGAATAAACTACAAGAAGGATCTTAAGAAAGTCAAAGCCCCAAATGTTGTAAAATCTCTTTTTAAGACAAGAGTAATTTAGAACTATATTCTCTTTTGAGTTAGTTTTTCACATTTTTCAGATTGTTTCTT